CATCTGAGTCTCCATAATTTCTTATGCGGAAATTTGGTTTGATACACAAGTGCTTTGGATTACAAGCATGTTTCCAGAATGAATTATACTTGCAAACAAAGGTTTTGCTATATCATCTTTGCAGAAATGTCTACTCAGATATCAAAGGATTTTTTGATAGATCAAATTGTTTACTGAGAGAAGAAAAGTTTCTTTGAAGCAAGGCACTCTCCCCTGTACGTTAAGCTATGTGAACTTCTGTCTTGGCAAACTTCTGCTCCAAGCCTTGGAGGCTAGAACTCACAAGCCTTCTTGGTTTAGTGCCCCTGTTGAGACACTATAGTGGGCCAGGGGTCACTGGTGGCTTTCCGGGGGGTCCCCAAAGTGGCAGATTGTCATAAGAACCTCACAAGGTGAGGAAAATTTGGTTCTTGGGACCAGAACACAGTCAACCAGATAAAAAGAAGGTTCGCCAGATGTTTCTAATCACCACTTTGAGGTGGGAGTCACCAGCGCTCCGCGTCTGGAAAGTCTACCGCTCGCTGCTCACACTGGGTATCTTACGGAGGGTTTGCTCCTGAGCACCGTCCCTCCCCTCGAAACGCATGAGACAAGGAGGCAACTGCATTCATCTTCTCCCCCTTGCTGTCTCCCAGCCTTTGAACCGGAAGTGGAGACACAGGGAGGAGGGAGACAGAGAAAAAGAAAGAAGTAGAGGGATGAAAAAACAATGAAAAAAGGTGTTAAATGGTTGTGGAGAAACACAAGTGTGAGCGTAGAGCTCGCTACAAGGGTCAACAGGAATTTCAATCCTGCTGCAACTTGGAAACCTAAGGCCAGATGTGTCTAATTTTGTATTATGTTTTGACCCAGCTTAATTATATCTATTTGACCCAGTTCAATTATGTTCCATCACCAACTTCAAAAAGAATATTCAACACTCAAAGGAGAGGTGCCAAATTCATTTAAGCTGTTATACACGCTGTGCAGCCTTCCGTCCTCGCTCCAAACCCTCGTCCTTAACTCTTTACCATCCAACCTCTACCCAGAGTCACCAACTGTGCATGCTGAAGACGGGCTTGAGCAGGTGGAGGAGCCTGGAAAAGGGCAATGCTAGGGATGCGGGGCACGTCCACTGCGCCGAGCGGAGTTCCCAGCCGCGGGCTCTCCTTTTCCCACGGCTTCAGCTCTTGTCTTTGCAGATGAGCCGGAGGAGGGACTTCCGGCCCCGAGCTTGGCAACTGTCTGGTCATCGTCTATCCCAAGCCATCCTCTTGCTCCAGCTTCCATCTCTTCTCAACCGGCATTAGGAGCACTGTCTCGACTGAGCTTCTTGCTGTTCTTCAAAGATTCACTTCCTACTCCAGTTTCTCCCCCTTTAGTCAGACTTCTTT